TTTCTGTGAAAATAAAAATAAAACAAAGTGGATCATTGATGTAGCGCTTAAAATATCGTCCTGTTCTCATCTCAAGCAATACGATGACAATTTCGACTCAATTTTGACATCGGTTGAGTTACCTTCGTGGTAGCCACTTACCAATAAACAGGCGGAAAATAGATTAAACGCCCTAATTGGAAAATCTTATTAACCTACTTTAGAAATAAATCCTAGCCAGATCGATGAGTCAATATATCTGGCATTCTTTTATTTACAAAAAAATCTCCCAATATGCAGCAGATACCTCTGCAATGCAAGATCTGCGAAAGGTAACACCATCTATGCAAACATTCTCACATGTTTGGCGTGCTGCCGCCCCGACTATACTGATGCTCATCTTAGGATGGTGTCTCACTGTCCGATCTTCTTTAGGTATACCAACGAGCTTTGCTCCTCAGTGCTCTCCTCCATGATACTGCAGCGCGTTAGACCTGGCAGATGAACCGGTCAGGAGTCAGCTTTTCATACTCGAACTTTGTGTGTCCAGAATTGGTTGGTACGACCGCTCCTTTATCTCTAGGAGGTTCAATCTGACTGAGGGGGGTTGTTCCGGTTTTGCTTGCCTTGAGCAGTTCAAAAATTTCAATAACAAGGTGTATTTAGCTCCCTATAGCAGTCGTAATGTCACGGTACTATGGTTTCTGGAAAAAATACTATTCTCGTTGAAGATTTTCAAAACTGTTGTTTCCTACCGAATCACTTCAATGGACAAAGAAAGAGGCGTGACGGTGAGGTATATTTATCCTATTATACCAATGCTATTTTGAGGATACGTTACAATATAATATAATATATTTGTTATCCATGAGACAAACAGCAGTTGTGTAGGATTCGTCATTTGTACATACAGAGACCTGTATTAATAAAATATTTCAATATATTAAAAGCATGTGAAATCCAATACACAAGGACAGTGAAATGGAATAAATGAAATGGATGCGCATTAGAAACGTAGCTGAAGTATATTCACAAAACCAAAAAACTGGTATAAATAGAATGTTAATAAATAATACAGATTAAAAATGCACGTAAATAAATATACAGGGTGCGCTAGAAGTCAAGCCGAAATCGGGTGATAGGCAAAGTCATAACAGCTATCAGAAAAATATTTAAAAAAATTTTATGTATGTGTTTTGAAAATTATAGGTCTTTGAAAAAGATATAGAAATTTCACACCCTACGACAGTCTGTCAACTCCTGTTACTACAAATATTAACTTTTTTGGATTTTATTTTTACAATGTAATGATGAATAATGCATCTTCAAACTGGTGTCTCAACCTTACTGCCAACTTTTCTCGTTCAGGAAAAATTGCCACTTATTTCCTAACCAAGTATTCCAAAGTAAAACTTACCACGTACAGCGTGTTTCAAGCTCTTCTGCCCCGGGATTATGAGCCCCGACTTGCTTTTTGTCGCACAATGTTAGAAAGACACAGGGAAGATCCACGGTTCTTTGAAAAATTGTATGGTCAGATGAGACCACATTTAAGAAAGATGGGTACATTAATATGCATAACTTACACGAGTGGCACGTAGCAAACCCACATTTGATGAGAGAAGATAAATCTCAATATCGCTTCAAGATAAACCATTGGACAGGAATTTTAAATGGTAAAATAATCGGTCCGTTTGAGTTCCCAGAGACTTTGACTGCTGAGGTTTATTTAGGGTTTTTGCAAAATCATTTAGAAAATTTATTGGAGGACGTGCCACTGAGTATTTACAGGGACATGTGGTTTCAGCATGATGGCTGCCCAGCGCACTATGCACTCTCAGTGAGAGAGTATCTCGATCAAAACTTTCCAGGCAGATGGATAAGGCGGTCTGGTACAATGCCGTGGCCAGCCCGATCACCTGATTTGAATCCTTTAGATTTTTTTACTGGGGAACTGTAAAAGAAAAAGTGTATTTCAAGCCGATTCAAAATGTAGCTGAGCTACGGCAAAGACTATTGGAAGCAGCTGAGTTTGCTAATAACCGTGGATTCGCTCGTTTAATAACCCGATCTTTTTTAAGAAGATGTCGAGCGTGTATTGCGGCTGAAGGAAAACAGTTTGAGCATTTGCTGTAAAGGTAAATCATCATCAGCAGCATTTTGACGGCCACTGTTGTGCAAACAGTTATCCTTAAAGGTCCTTGTGCGTTTTCATAATCGCTGTTTAATTAGGAAATTTTGAAAAATTTTCATCAGTTTTTTTTCAAATAAAAATTGTGCATAAGTAATCTTCTAAGTGTTATACCATTTTGGAATCGTTATTAAATGTGCCAACTTTCAAGGTTACTTGCCAAACTCTCGTAGTCCATTTTTTCCAGTACAGCCAGTTAAAGTTGAGCAAAGTTATACTTGGAATACTTGGTTGGGAAATAAGTGGCAATTTTTCCTGAACGAGAAAAGTTGGCAGGTAAGGTTGAGAAACCAGTTTGAAGACGCATTATTTATCATTACATTGTAAAAATAAATCCAAAAAAAGTTAATATTTGTAGTAACAGGAGTTGACAGACTGCCGTAGGGTGTGAAATTTGTATATTTTTTTCAAAGACCTATAATTTTCAAAACACATACATCTTCTGCTGCTCCGTATCAGCGCTTTATTTTGAGGTGATGTTACAGATATCCATTTGCATCAAATTGTTCATGCTTTGATTTATATGATCTGTTGTATAGACTGAAATTTCATACAATTCAAAAACAAAATATAGCCTGACATAGAACAGTACAAATGTAGAAATAACCCAGCCTTTCTGAAGGAGAGATAAGGCTATGAAAATCAAGGAGGCCATCAAGACGTCCTACTATAGGAATGACTCACGATGCAGCCCTTAGGGTCAATTTCACCAACATTAATATTTTGACGGTCAGTTGGACCAATAGGAAAATACCTTATCGAAATGCAACTTGACGGAAGCTGTCAAAGCTCTCTGTATATCAGTGATTTCTATTGAAATGTTGAATAAAGTCGTGAAAAAACGGTCGCTTTATAAATAAGGGTATACTTTATCTGATGTCACTTGAAACACTGTGAAATACCGGGTGCGTTTTATATATCTATATTTAACACGCTCTGTTGCTGCAAAAATCGCCAAATTTCGCAGCAAATATCCCCCGTATAAGATCAAAGGCAGTTTCACCGGTCCACGTGGAGTAAAGCACGCCTATGCGTGGACATAGCCAATGAGAAAGCGTGTATTTCAGAGCTCCGAACAGGTGCAGGTGGCTACTGAAAATTGAAACAGTTTAGCCAGTGCCGTGTAGCTGTGAATAAACGTGTTTTCTTTAGTCTGTCCGTGTTTTTTCATAGATTTTATTAGTTTATGTGTTTTTGACTTTTGAATACTCAGTTTACTTGTTGATTTAATTGTTGTGTTGATTGTTCTTGTGTGTCCTAAATATGGCTCTTTGGAGATCTTGGGAAAATGCTCCAAGCCACGAGGAGATGGTTGATGAACATGTGCAGGCAGAATTCTTTCATAAAGATTTAGAGGAACAGACCCAAAGAGTAATCCTAAATATGTATGATTGTCTGAAAAACGAAAATCCAGATTCCTCGCAAAATCAAATTTTAAACAGAATTTGTATCCCGACAAAAATCAGTCGGTCTACCATTTATCGGGTTGTAAAAAGGGGAGATGTAGTCAACCATTCCTTCGACAGAAAGCGCATAGGGCAAAAATTGAAAGAATAGAAGTGGGTTTTCAGGAAGATATTCGTCGTATAATATACGGATTTTATAAAGAAAATTTGGTGCCCACGTTGGAAACGATACGGGATAAATTAAAAGATTATCCTGAAGCTTTTTATAATTACAAATGCTTAGACTCACTGCACTGTATTGTAAAACTGTGTGGTTTTCAATACAAAAAATTAGATAAAAGAATGGTGATTATGGAGTCGTCTCGAATCGTTGAATTACGCCAAGAATTTTTGCACAAAGTTAAAATCTATAGAGAGCAGAAAAGAAATCTGATTTACCTGGATGAAACGTGGTATGATACCCATGATGTTGTGCAGTACGGCTGGGTTGGCGACAGCAACAAGTGCATTTTAAATGCACCATGCAACCGTGGAAAACGAATCATGATTCTCCATGCTGGCAGTGAAAATGGATTTATACCTAATGCCTTGCTGTTATCTGCCAAAACTATCAAAGAATCATGTGCCGACTATCATGAGGACATGACCTCCGACTTATTTGAAAAGTGGATAGAGCAGCAGTTAATACCATACATTTCCTCAAATTCAGTGATTATTATGGACAATGCGCCATACCATTCCCGACAGAAAAACAAAATTCCGAATACAGGCACAAAAAAACAAGACATTATTGATTTTATGAAGGATAAGGGAATGGAAATACCACAAAAATCAACCAAAGCCATATTATTAGATCTTATTAAAGGACAAAAATTTGAAAAAGAGTATGTTGTTGACAATTTGCTTCAGCAAAATGGCCATGAAGTATTACGTCTACCTCCATATTACTGCATTTTTAACCCGATTGAGTTGGTCTGGGCTGCTTTAAAAAAAAAGTAAGAAAACATAATCAGACCCCTCAATTAAGTGAATCGTTATTGGTCACAATAAGAGATGCAGTATCTCATATTGCTGCCACAGACCTATGGAAGCAGTGTTCTAGGCATATTATTGAAAAAGAAAATGAATATTGTGTTTTGCCTCCTGTAAATCCCGTTGTAATTCCTCTACAAGATGACTATAGCGACAGCTCCGAAGGCGAGGATGATATATAAATACCTATAATGTAAGTCTTTATATACCTTTTTATATACCTACCTGCTATGTAAATATTTGCCTATGTTAAACGTTGGAATTCTGTAATTTTTCCATTGCTTAACTTTCAGTCAACATAAATTAGACTCCCAATATAAGTATTTTACCGCACGCCTATGATATGTCATGAAATTACAAAGGACGCGCCGACCGAAGGTTTTTATGCTATTTCAAGAGACTTCAGATAAACTATACGAAGCACCTAATAAAAGATTATTTAATAGTACCAAGTAATATAAAACAGTCCTACCTGGCAGGGCTCTCTTAGGAGCTGAAATGTGCTTGTGGATTCTTCTCATTTCCTCTGGTTGATCATCAGTTTGCCAAAGCATGTAAAATTGAGGTTCTTTCTTTGCTCTTAGTTTTGCTTGCTCCTCCCTGGTTTTGATCCAGCCCATCTTCAGAGCGTGCACCAGTTTAGACACTTGCTTAGCCTCATGCTTGCTTGGCAAAAATGATCTTTTGTGCTCTGGGAATTTGCGAATTGGCATCTGCTCGACTTGACTCGTAAACCACTCGATCCATGGCTATAAAATTAGTTAAAAAAAATGACGATTATTCACGATCTCTGTCTCGGAGAGGTTGACAAACAAATTTAAATAATATTCGCACGAAATTTTCCTTTGCTTAACAGAATTTTTGTTAAACGTATCCACGCATGTGTGTGATCCTAGCTTGGTTTTATTTGTTATCAAACTTTAATACAAGCTACATTTAAACTGTGTTCTTAAGATACGAAGGTAACTTACAGCATATTCATCGAATGTGGCATCTGGAATCTTCTGACCTCTGATTCTTTTGATAAGCTGGATATCTTCCTCACTCAGAACAACATTTTGACCAGTTTGTGGGTCCTTGACAGTTCTCCAGAAGTCTGGATCCTCCATTCGTTTGAGGAAAGCATCCAGATGATCACCAGTCTCAGGCTTCAGGATTTGATCACCATCCCAATCGTAGCCCAGATGCCTGTACTCATCATACCAGTTCATTGGAATGTTGCCAACTGTATTTCTGATGTCTTCTTCATCGGACGTATCGCAGTCAGCATATTCGTCTTTTGAAGAACCTGCCAAATAATATGCCTTGTAAACACTCCTGTATTACTATGAAACTTTTTGGTGCGTAGAAAAACCCCATGTTCATTCCTATAATTCTACGGAGGTTTCTTACCTCCTGCTCCTATATTTCCTGCTCCTGTGCCATTCTCCACACCTTCCTGTTTTGTTCCACCCATTTCATTTTTTCTCTTCTTACGTTGTACTTCTTCTTCACGCTCACTCCCAGACTCGTCCTCACTGCTCTCAGACTCGTCTTCGGTATCTTCTTCTTCTTTCCCCTCGTCGTCTTCTTCCTGATCTTCCTCACTATCACCTGCCTCTCCAGCACTATCTTCCGATACACTATCAGAGCTTGCTTCAGATTGTCTTTCAAAAAGTTCGTTATCTTCATCTTCCGAATCTTCAAGTTCCCTGTCTGAATCTGAACTGTCTTCTTCTTCACCGTTCACGGCGTTGAGGAAGTCCTCCTGCAAAAACAAGATATCGAATAAAAGACAGGCTGAGAAAATTTTGTGTCCATAATAGGCGCTCCTGTATGGACTAGCTACTGGGGATTTTTCGAGCTCTTCCGTGTTCCCAAAATGTTCTTTGCTCTGGCTCCTGTGGAGCTATTGGATTTGTTGTTGTTGAAGATTTATTTAGCATTAATGCTACAATGTCATCATTTTGTATAATGATTCGGTTACATATCTTTCTTCAATCCATTTTCTGTAATTTTACATTCTTGTCTTTAAAAATTAAAATTACGTCACTATGTATTTTGATTATTCATAGTGATTTTTTAATTTTACCTTAAACATTTTTAAATACAAACTTTGTTTAATATCATTATTCAATTTATCAATTTCAAATACTCCCTTTTGAAATATAGATTTACTAGTTATGCTACTATTACAATTTTGCAGATGAAAATCTAAACTGCCTCTAGTTTAATAGTTATGATAATGACTACTTAATTTTGTGAAGTTCTCTAAATGTGGTCTTAATAAATGATTTTTTTATTTCAATATGAAATCGAGAACTAAATAATATATGAAAAGTCTTCCACCACTATTTGGATTACTGTTTCTGTGGACATTTTTTTTCTAAATCCAGCTTGATTTTTTGTCAAAATATTGGTTTCTTCAATGAATTCTATGACTTGTTCGTATATTATCCCTTCGAACAGCTTCTCGGCATCGGGCAAGACATTAATCGGTCGCATATTTGTATACAGCTGAGAATTTTGAACTTTTGGCACAGGAGTAATGGTGGAACACTTTAATTTTGATGGGAATTCACCATGTACTAAACAATAATTCACCAATAATAATAATTTCTCTCCAATTATATTGAAACAATCATTTAGAATATTTTTTGAGAGATTCTCACTTTTGAGATAGCTATTCTTAGATTGTTGATGTTAATTGTCCTAAATTGCTTCATTGATGAATTCTGACATACTTGTAAAGGACATAAGTTTGGATCACCGTCATCAATCGTCTTCACTATTTGATTTACACTTTCTGTAAAATAAATGTTCAATCTTTCTGCTATAATTAATTTGTCTACCACTACCCACATCTTCGGATGTACCGAAGCATTCTGTCCATTACAAAATCAACAGTTTTCGACAGGAACGCGTATGCTTATTTGACCAATAACTGCGCAGCAAGCGACCTTCTTTGCTGGACGACGATACTGCCAAAAACAAGTTAAAGGAAAATCCTTTTTTGCTGCGGAAATCATGTCTCATCCTGTCTGAAGAATAGTAAAATTATCTCTACTACACTATAGTAGTACCCTTGCGTGTTGAAAATATCCAAAAACATTTTTATAAATGTAGGATGTATTCTATTTACAATACAAATACAATGAGAAACAATGAATTTTTGTGGGTGGTGATATTTAACACAGGAAATCCTGCCAAAGAGTTAAGACAGGAAGCAACCTTGGCAAAAGAATAAACAAGTTAAAGGAAAAAATAAAATTACACAGAAGAATGAGGAGGAAAAGCTAAAAAAGTGTTTTTAATTGTGTCTAATTATAATAAATGAAGCAAATGAAATATGATTAAAAAAATGAGATAGGTAACTGGAAAAGTAACAACAATAATTACTGCAGGTGAAGAACATACTAGAGCATTAGACATTGTTGGGATGAAAAGTTCCATGAGACAACATATAAAAAAATATATAGGACTGCTGCCCTAAGCACTGTTTTCAACTGTTTCAAAAGTGTCTACCTGAATAACATCTATTCTTATACCTGTTTTTCAGTCCACAAGAGCAAGATAAATCTTGCATAAAAATCAATTAATTGCATTTTTCATGCAAGTGGAATAGCTAGTGGTTTGTGTTGTTATATTTAATTGTTTACAGATATAAGTACATCTGATTGTGTTCTGGTGATGGATGGTCAGAAATTGAAACTAGTTTTTGGATATTACAACCATCTGTTCCAAAGGAAAAAAAACTAAAACCCAAATTATAAGTTAGGATGTGATTGGATGCGGTTGAACAACAGTTTCAAGAGTAGAGACCTGCCATAACATAGCATGTTGTATAGCTATTTTAAAAATAACTATTTTTTATAAGACATACATTACTTAAGTTAACCAAGATATTAGGTTCCAAAGCAAATCTACTATATCAAATGCAGATATATAGTGAGAACATACAATCTGTGTCACTCTTCAACTCCTTACGTACGAAACCTTAATTATTGCTAGTTTACTAATTATATCTGTAAAAATGGAAAATGACACTCTCACAACAATAAATGTATTGATATAAATTCAGATTACAGTGAGTGACATCAAGATGCTGCTGTGGCTTAGCAAATGTATTCAAATTGGCTTTTTGCATGTCTTCACCCTGCTCTGCATAATTTTGTATTTTTTATACAAAGAGCTGGGGACCCAGGGCTCTACATGAATGTTGACATGTCCTTAGTGGACGGTCTAGATAACCTTTATATTACAGATGTTGAGTGCTTTTTTCAATTTTTTCCACAGCTGCTTCACCTCAAATTGATTTTATTCCAATCATGGTTACCTTATTAAAGGAAAGTTCCAACTTCCAAATAAATATACAGAGTGCTTCCTTAACATTCAAAAGTGGTCATTAGGACCATACAACTACTTAATCCTTTAGCTATATTCAAAGAACCATTTCGTTTTGATACAAGGTGAACAAGGTTTTACCAGAATAACACTTTGTAAGAGAAAAAAATCACATGTGAAACTTCTGACTATAATAAAAACTATTGAGCATTCTTACCTCTAGATATTAGGGTAATGGGTAACAAGACACGGAAAATTGAGGGAGAAAGAATCCTATCAAAAATCTCTGGTGAAACCACTGTAGATATCAGGTAAGTTTGCTCATTATAGTTGAAGGATTTTATAATAAACTATCAGATTTACCTCTTCGCTTGATTCTGCTTCAGTCTCTTGCTTGTTTTCTGCTTCTTGTACCTTCCTTTTTAAATTCTTTTGCGGTTTTTGTTTATTCCCCATTTTACTCCATAAACAACACGTGAAAGTAAAGTTAGGTTAGGTGCTTGACATGTCCCAAAAAATGTTGACATGGAACAGCGAGGTGATTAAAGTAGCTTTTAGTTCTGTGTTCTATGGAAGTTTTTCACCGCCTTCATCATCGGCAACCCTAACAGCGTCAACCCAAATTAATAGTACAGTGATTGAAGGATAAATATTACAAAATTATCGTAACGCATCTATGTCAAAATAAATGAAAATTCTCTACATTTGATGTGACCGAAATTGTCAAATAATCAAAAACCAGTTTTCTTCATGTTTTTATTCACCACTTTGAGACACATATAGTCAGATTGTTTATAGAATAATTATATGGACCTATTTGACTGACTTTTCTCTGAGGCTCTAGTTTGTATTAAGATATTCATTCATGCACTGATAAGGGAGTTGCGTGGAAAGTACAGACTCAACCTATTTGACGCTATTCTTTTAAATATTTTTGCGACTATGTTGATAATAATTTCAACGTATTCCGGGTTTCAACGATGAGTATGAATGTCATTGGAATCGATTGCACTCCCGTAGAAGGTGCCTGTCAGAAGTGACGACAGAAGACACATAAGTTTGACCTCACAAGGTCAAAGGATCTTTCGGTATTTTTAGTAAAATTCAATCCTAACAACTGATATTGTACAACACAAGTCCTACGTAAAAGAGAATAAAATACAAGAAAATAAACAAAACTGAATACAACCCTGGAATTTTGAGTTTACAAAAATATTAAATTCTTATCACTATTTTGCAAATTCTTCACGAAATGAAGTCAATCTATTTTGTTGATTAATTAGCGCCATTCATTGGCCTTTTTGTACATAGCCAAACATTTCAATATTCAGCGCAAAAAGTGCTGATTTTAATAAAAAGTAAACAAAAAAGTGAAAAAAATCGAGACCGGCCCTCGATTTATTAGCCGTGCGTCTAGTTTAACGTTACTCCTAGGTAACTTTGTTATCATGCGACTGTGGTCAGATAAATCATCTTCTATATCTATAGCCGTACAAACAGAATTTAGAGCTTTTCTATTTTCGCATATGGAAAGGTCTCGCGGAGTTCATTCTACCTACTATTTCACTATGCCCGTGTAAGTACAAAACACTGAGAACCTTCGTTTGTCTTCAATGGATTGATAGATTGATAGATCTCAGGTGGTAAGATATGGTGGGTATACATCTCGTAGTATTGGTGTAACCCGTAGAGTTCTCATTTAGGTCCGTTGTTATCTAACATAACGAACACGGCAACGAAGACTATAGTAACTCAAAAATCCTTGCTTTTGACTTACTATATGGTATCGATAGACTTTATGTTCTCTTTGGCGGAAGAATATGGTATCTCAGTCATGCAGCTATGGCAACCAGTAAATCTTCTACGTCATATAGTAAGTATAATAGTTGGTGTTGCTCCCGCAAAAACTACATTAAATTGATCTACTTTAGTCGTCGATGCCAAAAATGACGGAAAGCCTAACTTACTGTTAGACCTATTGTCTATGATTAATAGCGAAAACGTTTTAAGTATTAGCTGAAATGAATTCAAGAACCAAAATAATTCTGGCACATGCAAAGAAGCAGAGCTTTTGACACGGCAACGTAATTTCCTGGTTCCTGGACTGCTTGCCGTAACAATCGTTGAACTCAGCATGTCTGTCCGGGTTCCTAGCGACCAAATAGTGTGACGACACTGACGACTCAATGATCAGTATGTGTGACGATCCCATGATTCAGTCTATGTGATGAATCCTTACTAGTAGCCTGAATACAGTAATGTAGTGGTAACTAGACTTGTGCATGTCATGTCATGAGTCGGTTGAATATGAGATGTTCTCGAATAATTTTTTCTGAAGATAGGTGTTGGCCTCGACAATCAGGTTATATCCCCCTCATCCTTGCCAAAGGAGGATAACTCGTTGTCGTTCTATCACCAAGTAACTGGTTTTAATATTTTCCTGACATTGCTGCCCATATTGGATTTCTTACGTACTGCCCTTGTAATAAAACGAAATGGTGCAAGATGGTACTACAAATCTTTCTAAGGCGGGTTCGTTGTTTTCACGTTTATCATTATCTTCTCGTCTTAACTCATATAGTTTTGGTGCCCTGTCAATAATAAGCAAAATACGAGTATACGCTCGTGGATACACCCTGTAACAAAGACACCTGCCGACCATCAATAATTGTTACCTAGTTTGCAATCACATCACATCAACGGTAGAAAGCGGATGAACAGCAAGATCAACGACTTTGCTGGTATACAGCACGTAGTCTCTCCGATCACCCGGTAAGGTCAAGTGGAAAAGAAAGCGCTGCATCAGTAGTTCTCGAAAGGCCTCGTCTGTTTCCTTCGCGTTCCCCATCTCATGTTTGTACACATAAGTGAATCCATGATATCATGCTTACATATTTGCACAGCCGATTTTGGATTTATTCAAAACTTTCTTCATGTGGTAACCAGGAGCGTTGTAGCTATTATGATTTGATAATATCTTATGTAAAGGCGTATCGCTCATCATAAGAATAAGTATATTTGGTAGAATAGCTGTAGTTTCTTGTATAATACAAGGTGTCCGCAAAGTTGGGGTTTTCCTTTACACGACGTGTAGATCTTGAAAACATAAGCAATTTTTCTTAGTACCATATACACCAATGTCTTAAGGGAACCGAGATAAAGGGCTCTGCAACATCAAAAATATCTGAATACCGTCCTGTAGCCGCGACCCACGACATCCCCGAGTGGTACTAGGACACTAGCTCAACCCGACGACAGAACTGGATCGATTGCGTTTCAAAAAACAACAAGCACTAGAGACGTGGCTAGAGAGGTGCAAGTATCAAAAACTAAAGTGTGGCAAACGCTGCGTGAAGAGGGGCTGTATCCGTTTCATGTCCAACGTGTACAAGCCCTTCAACCTGACGATTTTCCAGCAAGAGTGCGGTTTTGTGAGTGGTTGTTGCATCAACATGACAATAATCCGGACTTTTTGAAGTGCATATTGGTGATAGACGAATCTACGTTCACGCGTAATATGGTGAATAACTTTCGCAACACTCATGTTTGGTCAGTAGAAAATCCGCACGCTGTCCGTCGGGCACATTTTCAACAAACATTTTCGGTGAATGTTTGGGCTGGCATGGTGAACGGTATGCTCATTGGACCATTTATTCTCCCAAATCGATTGGACGGGATGCAATACCTAGACTTTTTACGCAACATTTTGCCTTCCTTGTTAGAAGATGTGCCATTAAGTGAAAGACAATCAATGTGGTTTCTGCGTCTGCTCCGTAGCGCATCAGCTGATTTCATTTTCTGTTGGAGCGGTATGATTTCGGGCAGAGACGTACTTAGCCCTTCTAGTCAACTGGAGAGTGAGTACTTTTTCCTTTATTTTTTTTACTTGGTCGCCCTCGTTTCACTACACATTACCTTTGTTATTTCAAGGGTAGTTGTTTCTGAAAAGGAAAACCCCAACTTTGCGGACACCCTGTATATTTGCTATTATTTTCATCCTAGTTTCTACGCTATGGGTAGACGTATCGTGATTTTGCGAAAATGTTCAAATCCAGGTTTATCTGACGTTCTGGATGGAATACCTATAATTTCGCGACAAAGTCCTCAAAATTAAGGAAATGCCTATAAGCATAAGGTAGCAGGAAACGCAAATGGTTAGAGCAAAAGGTAAAAGCAATTGCTTCATTCAGTATGAATGATGATAAAAATTCGTGAAAGCTCATGTCTAAAATATTGGAGATTCATAACTACTCATGCATTCTCGGGGAGTTTTTCTTTTGTTGGGGATTTTTTGGAGATAAAATGTTCTGGGGGATTTTTTTGGGGAAAAACTAAAACCTTTGGGGTATTATATTCCATTTTTAATCACACAAAACTGTACACTCCTAAATAACAATTTTATCTTCCTGTATCTTTTTCTTTCCTCATGGTCGCACTCGCAATTATCTCTACAAAGCACCTACAATATAAAGTTGGTAGACCTGTGCCCATAGTCATAAAACAGAAAAATCGGAATAGTAAGGTGTGAAAGAACTAGATGATGATTCATGTTCTCCGCGATGTTCCTTCGATTTGTTCGTCTTGCAGATTCACGGGTCTGCGATTCCACAATCCTCAAATGGCAAATGCGCTTATCATTTTTCCATATGCAACCACGGCACAAAAACCAATAACTTTGATGCCGCGATCACAGAATATACTAAGTGACATATAAATCCGAACACCCAGTTTAAACGGTTTTATTTTAATAAAATTTTGTATTGTACTTAATGAAGCATAATAAGTAAATGATAAAAATTTCAAAATGATTGCACTGCTTTAAAGCCCTTTGACCTTTAATAACGTGTGGATGCACCCTGATGTGCTACGCATTCTCCAACGCGCCTAGGCATGCTTCTGATCAGGTGGTCAATGTCCTCCTGTGGTATCTCATTCCAGGCAACCACCAACTCCTCTCGAAGTGCTTCTAGAGTCTGAGGAGGACGTTGCAAATTGAGCAATCTCCTACCCATCATATCCCACACGTGCTCAATTGGGGATAAGTCGGGAGATCTTGGTGGCCATGGTAACAATGTGACATCATTATGTTGAAAGAAGTCTATTGTGACTCTTGCAACATGTGGTCGGGCATTATCTTGTTGGAAAGTTGGATCTGCCAGGGTGTCAAGATAGGGTAAAAGATGGGGTTCTAGAACTTCGTGGATATAACGCTGCGCGTTCATGTTACCTCTGATGAAGATTAAAGGTGACCTGGAACCATAAGCTATAGCACCCCAAACCATAACTCCAACAGTGTGATGAACATGTCTTTCAACAAAAAACTGTGGATTCCTCCTTTCACCACGTCGCCTTCTAACCCAGGCACGACCATCGTGCATGCCTAAACAAAATCGAGACTCGTCACTAAAGACAATACTGTTCCATTCCTGATCCCAGAGTGACCGTTGTCTGCACCACTCAAGGCGATTACGTCGGTGTTCTCGAGTTAAAGGGAGGACCCAGTGTGGCCGGTATGAAAACAAGCCA